AATTCATTAAAATGATAAATTAATAGAGAAGATGCTGATCAGCATTGGTAGAGGGAGTTCCATCATGAGGGTTCCCAATAGCAATGAAATGATAGGTCCATAAAGTATGTGAAGGGCAACAGCCTGAGATGAGTCTGGAAAAGGTATTTTGGAGGCAAATTCTGGACAACTTGGAATGGGGATGAGGAAATTAGGACTATGTTTGATACATAATGGGGAGCCATTGAAAGTGCTTGGGCAGTGGAGTTCATTTGTCCTTCATTCTTGAAGAGCACCATGACATCAGGGAGGTGATGCCATGACATGCAAATGAATTGGACTTAAGTGAGGGAAGGCTGTGCAAAGTCACCAGCCTCACTCTTTCCTCCGGAGCCCTCTGGGTCTAGTGGAAAGATATATATCAGGACAACTGGAGATGGCCCTGGATGCATTGGGAGACCTTGGCCTTTTTAACCTAAGGTCTTTCCCAGGTGTCAGTTTGACTGATGCAATGCCCATTCAGTGATTAAAGCTAGGTAAGAAATGAGGCAAAGAATGCCCTCTTTTACCTAGTCAAATAAAAAAATAAAATCAATTTGGGAGGGGAAGATCCTCAGGGTTTCTGGCCAAAACAGAAAAAAGTGCTATTTACTCTCACTCTAAGACATCAAAGCTTGAGCAGTGGAGTACATAACACACATAAGGGCTGTATTTCTTTCCAGTGCCACAAGAGACCAAAAACCCATTTGCAGGTCCAGCAACAGAAAAGATTTCATTCAGCGGCATTTTTAATTCAACATCTTAGTATTCTTTGAGAACCTTTGCCAGCATATTAGAACTACCAGAGACTAAAGGTCATCTGCTCTAATCCCATCATTTTGCTCACAAGGACACTAAGGCCAGAGAGGGGAAGTGCCTAACACCACACCTCTAGGAAATGTCAGGACTCAACAAGAATCAGACTCAGATGGGGCAGCAATCACCAAGTTCACTGAATCCAATCCCTCTTCCCCCACCAGAGGTATGAATCTTCTCCAGAGTATAGCTGATAAATTCTGAACACCTCCAGTGACAAAAACTCACTACCTCAAGAGGCCTGACATTCATTTTTGTTCCTAATTGTTCCTAAATTCTTTCTTATATTGAGTCAGGCCTTCTGATTCTTGTTTCAGTGGTCTTTCTGACCCTCTGTCTCTCTGTCTGTCTCTCTCTCTCTCTGTCTCTGTCTTTCTGCCTCTCCTCCTTGAGGGCAGGGACTGTCTTTTGCCTCTTTGTATCCTCAGTGCTGAGCACAGTGCCTGGCACACAGTAGGTGTTTAATAAATGTTTATTGAAAGGTGGAGCCAAGATGATGGAGAAAAGGCAGCAACTAGCTTGAGCTCTTTCTATAACTCCTCTGAACACCTTAAAATAATGCCATAGAACAATTCCTGGAGCAGCAGAACCCACAAAAGGACAGGGTGAAGCAATTTTCCAGCCAAAGACAACTTAGAAGGTCAGCAGGAAAGATCTGTTGCATCAGAGTAGGGATGGGGTACCGCCCAGCACAGGCTATACCAGCACAGATCTGATCCCAACAAACCAGGAGCAGGCCTTGGGAGCTACAGAATCTGCGGCAGCAGCAGTGGCTGTTTCCAGAGCTCTCAGCCCACAGACAGAAAGGGGGTTGAACAACTGATCAGAGGGAGATTACAGGGGTCTCTTTGCTGGCTCTGGGGACAGGACTCTGTTGCTTTGCCCATACTCAGATTGGGGTCTCAGTTCTGGGTGGCAGTTCCAGGGCAAGGAGGAGCACTAGCACACCAGAGCTTGTAGGCCACGGTGGATCAGGACCCTCGTCACAGTTCCAGGGCAGACAAGAGTGCTTGTGGTCATTCGCAGATCAGGAGAGTAGTAAACATACCTCTCCTTAGGTCGTACAGGATCATACAGGAGTGGGAGATAGAACTGAAAACTTACAGGTCCCTAGAAGTATCTCTGAAAACAGCTGCGCAAAACCCTTAAGCTTGGGACAATGCACCCTCCACCCTGGAAGCAGAGTCCCACTTTACCAAAGAGTTAATAGTCAAGAAACAGACTGGAAAAATTAGCAAACAACAGAAAAAAAAATTCTGATCATAGAAAGTTACTATGATGATAAGGAAGATCAAAACATACACTAAGAAGATCATAAAGTCAAAAGTCCTACATCCAAAGCCTTCAAGAAAAGTATGAATTGGTCTCAGGCCATGGAACGACTCAAAAAGGATTTAAAAATCAAGTAAGAGAAGTAGAGGAAAAATTGGGAAGAGAAATGAGAGTGATGCAAGAAAATCATGAAAAAAGAGTCAACAGTTTGGTAGAGGGGACACAAAAAAATCCTAAAGAAAATAACACCTTAAAAAACAGACTAGGCCAAATGGTAAAAGAGGTACAAAAAAAGAAAAAAAAACCAATGAGGAGAAGAATGCATTGAAAAGCAGAATTGGCCAAATGGAAAAAGAGAGACAAAAATTCAATGAAGGAAAAAACTCCTTAAAAAGTAGAATTGGCCAAATGGAAAAGGAAGTACAAAAGCTAACTGAAGAAAATAATTCCTTAAAAATTAGGATTGAGCAAGTGGAAGCTAATGACTTTATGAGAAATAAAGAAACAATTAAACAAAACCAAAAGAATGAAAAAAAATAGAAAACAATGTGAAATATCTCACTGGAAAAATAACAGACCAGGAGAATCAATCCTGGAGAGATAATTTTAAAATTACTGGACTAGCTGAAAGCTTTGATCAAAAAAAGAGCCTAGACATCATCTTTCAAGAGATTATCAAGGAAAACTCTCTTGATATTCTAGAACCAAAAGATAAAATAGAAATTGAAAGAATCCACTTAATCCCTCCTGAAAGAGATCTCAAAATGAAAACTCCCAGGATTATAGTCAAATTCTAGAGCTCCCAGTTCAAGGAGAAAATATTGCAAGCAGTCAGAAAGAAACAATTCAAGTATTGTGGAACCACAGTCAGGATAACATAAGATTTAGCAGCTTCTACATTAAAGGATCAAAGGGCTGGAATACAATATTGCAGAGGGCAAAGGATCTAGGATTACAACCAAGAATCACCTACCTAGCAAAACTGAGTATAATCCTTCAGGGGAGAAATGGATATTCAATGAATTTTCAAGCATTCTTGATGAAAAGACCAGAGCTGAATAGAAAATTTGACTTTCAAATGTAATATGCAAGAGAAGCATAAAAAGGTAAACAGGAAAGAAAAATCATAAGGGATATAATAAGGTTAAACTGTTTACATTCTTACATGGGAAGATGATACTTGTAACTCATAAGAACTTTCTCATTATTAGGGCAGTTGGAAGGAGTATATATTGACAGAGGGCACAGGTGTGAGTTGAATATGAAGGGATGATATCTAAAAAAATTAAATTAAATTAAGGGGTGAGAGGAATACACTGGGAGAAAAGGAAAGGGAAAGGCAGAATGAGGCAAATTATCTCACATAAAAGAAGCAAGAAAAAGCTTTTATAGTGAATGGGAAGATGGAGAAGGTAAGAGGGAGTGAGTGAACCTCACTCTTGTTGGAACTGGCTAAAAGAAGAAATAACATACGCACTCAGCTGGTTATAGAAATCTATCTTATCCTACAGGAAAAAGTAGGAGGGGAAGGGGATAAGAGAGAGGGGTGGGGTAATAGAAGGGAGGGCAGATTGGGGGACGTGGTAGTCAGAAGCAAAACACTTTTGAGGAAGGACAGAGTGAAAGGAGAGAATAGAATAAACAGAGGGTGAAATAGGATGGAGGGAAATACAGTTAGCAATTGTAACTGAAAAAATTTTTGAAGTAAGTTTTTCTGATAAAGGTCTTATTTCTCAAACATATAGAGAACTGAGTCAAATTTACAAAAGTAAGAGTCATTCCCCAATTGATAAATGATCAAAAGATATGAATAGTTTTAGATAAAGTAATCAAAACTATGTATAGCCATATGAAAAAAAATGCTCTAAATCACTGTTGATTGGATAAATGCAAATTTAAACAATTCTGAGGTACTATCTCATACCTATTAGATTGGCTAATAGGACAGAAAAGGAAAATGACAAATGTTGGAGGGGATGTGGGGAAAATGAGACATTTATGCATTGTTGATGGAGTTGTGACCTGGTTCAACCATTCTGTAGAGCAATTTGGAATTATGCCCAAAGCATCATAAAATGATGCATACCCTTTGACCTAGGAATACCACTACCAGGTCTTTATGCAAAAAGAGATAAAAAAACAAAAAAGGAAAGAGACCTATGTGTACAAAAATATTGATAGCAGCTCTTTTCTGATGGCAAAGAATTGGACATTGAGGAGATACCCATAAATTGGGGAATGGCTGTACAAGTTGTGTTATATGAATGTAATGGAATACTATTGTGCTATAAGAAATGATGAGCAGGATGCTCTCAGACAAACCTGAAAAGACTTATAGAAGCTGATACAAAGTGACATGTATTGTGTTCAAAGTAACAGCCATATTGTAAGATGATCAGCTGTGAATGACTTAGCTATTCTCAGCAATACAGGACAACTCTAAAGGACTTATGAAAAATGCTATCCATCTCCAGAGGAAGAACTGATGGTGTCTGAATACAGATTGAAGCATACTTTATTTTATTTTATTTTTCTTGAGGTTTTTTTGTCTATGTTTTCTTTCACAACATGACTAATATAGAAATATGTTTTTGCATGACTACACGTGTATAACCCATATCTAATTGTTTGCCTTCTCGATGATGGGATTGAAGGGGGTGGGGAGGAAGGGAGAGAATTTGGAACTCAAAATCTTAGAAATGAATGTTTAAATTGTTTTTAAATGTAATTGGGGGAACAATAAAATCCTAAACAAGCCTACAAAATAAATGTTTATTGAACTGAATCAAATTGATGTCCAGTCTCTTGAGCAGGCATTATGATCTTTGACTATCATCTTTTTCTAAGGGTTTGCCAAGTTCAGAGAGTGATGGATTGCTTCTCAGAGGATTTGTAGACCACCACAGGAAGAAGAAGCAGAGATGCATTCTACTTGGTTCCAGCATTTCAAGGATTCCAGGAAGCCTGGCTTTAAAATGCCCCAATGCCGCCACCGTATTATCATTGCACCCCCCATGCCAAAGCACGTTACCGGCGAATGCAAGGTTGCAGTGGAAGCTGTTCCTTCCCTTGAAGTGGAGTCTTCAACCCAATCCTATAAAACAGTAAACATTTCACAGGAAGAACAGCAGGTGGAGGGCGGAGATGAGGTGCAAGTGTGGCTGGCCCAGAGGCTAAAAACAAAGAGAGATCTGGACATTTTTGTGAACCTTGAGAAATGGATCCATTGCAAGCCCAGTAGGACAAAGTTAGAGAACCGAGTGTTAAAGAAGATTTACAGGGATAGAGAGAATGATCTAGCTGCCCGGAGAGCAGCTGAGATTGCTTCTGCTGAGATCACAGTAAGCAACCCCATTTTCCAGATGAAAATTTTCTTACTCATTACATCATTTGATTATAAGACCATGTAGGTAGGTAGGTAGGACAGAGATGATGAATTTCTTTTTGTAAAGGGAAAACTAAGGCACTGAGAGGTTGTCATCTGTGACCAGCTGGGGTCTAGAGGTCAAGAGTGAACAAGTCTCTCTTAACAAGGCCAGGGCCTTTGAGCTATGTATGTCCTGCTTCCAGTACATACCTCAAGGCTTCCACCAGTGGTGACAGGTGACTAGGGATAGCCCTGAAACCTCTATGGGAGAAAAGTGATTCTCTTTCATTTAACCAGAAGGGTACTTTCATTTTAAACCTGTACTATATGTCATGGATCAGCTTGGCATAATGGAGGGAATGCTGGGCTTGAGAGTAAGGAAGTCCTGAGTCCAGTTCCTGCCTTTGACCCTACTAGTTGTATTACTTTGGACTAGTCCCTTAACTTCGCTTTGCCTCAGGCAACATCTTAAAATTGATTTAAGTCACAGTAGTTTGGTGGAAGGAGTTGCCCATGATGTATTCACAGGAGGTACCATAGCCCAGATAAAAACCTTAGTCTTTAAACAAGCTTTGATAATGAGACCTTGGATAGGCAAGGGCGAGTGGGAGGAGATAGGACATTCCATGAGGGAAGACACTGGAGAGGGAGCTGCATGGCTTGGCAAGTGACCACGAGAGGGTGGCCCAACTAATATATCAGATGAAGTGGAAAAGGCAAATTGAAGCCACATCACGAAAACCAGGCAGATTGCCTTCTAATTAGGGATTCCCATAAGAATGAGAATTCAGAAAACACCCACTGATGTCTTCCCGGAGCCCCTATTCAGGTCCTCTCTGACACCCTTTGTTAGGGTGGCTTGTCCCCCAAGAGATGCATTCCGTTGGCTCTGGCTCTCAAATAACGTGCACTGTCTCCTGAGCAAGTCATTCATTCCCTTGTCTCCTTTCATTTCTTTCAACAGAAACCTGTCCAGTATGTCCACAGAGTTATCCCCTCACTCATCGTGCCCGAACCCTCATGCCTGTCAGTCCTATATGAATATCTGTTAAGCCAAAAGATCAAAATAATTGAAATGTTCTTCAAGGCAGAGTGGGAACATCAGATCTCCAGGGAAGAGTTCGTGGAAGGAATGAAAAGAGTAAGCAGGTGCTGGGTGATTAGAAACAATTGTTCAGAACCAGGTTCTGGGGAGTCTAAAATCAGCTCATGGAGCTATAGAAAGGGAGTACATTATTTGTGCTGCATTTCAGATTCTAAGAAACAGTTCTGCTTTGTTTGGATGGGTTTACAGTGTTTGGAGGAGAATGAGGGCTTGGCCCCTTTAAGAAAGAATGAATTAATGGAAGCAATTGGAGTCAGTCAGCCAACAAGCATTTATTAAATATTTACTTTGTGCCTGCATTGTGCTAAACAAACATGTGGGTACAAAGAAGGGCAAAAACAGCTCTTGCCCTCAAGGAGCATGTGCTCTAATGAGGGAAACAACATGCAAATAATTTTATAGATATAGATATATACACATAGCGCTCTATACACATCTATATATTGGAGGGTGTATATATATTTCTATTTATACTATGTATAGGTGTGTATACATCCCATATATTTATACTATATATGTAGATGTGTGTATATACTGTATGTATTTATACTATATATGTATATATTTATACTATCTATATATACTATATATTTATACTATACATAGATGTGTATATATACACTATATATTTGTACTATATATAGTGTGTATATACTATACATATTTATACTACATATAAATATGTATATGTGTATTATATATTTATATTATATATATTTGTGTATCTATATATACTATGGATACTATATATACACTATATTTGTGCATACACACTATATATTTATACTATATATAGATGCATATATCTATATATATATTTGTACTATACATGTATAAACATACTACATATTTATATTATATATAGATGTGTATATAGACAGACTATATATTTATACTATATATAGATGCATGTATACATACTGTATATATTTATACTATATATAGGTGTCTATATGTGTATACAATATATTTATACTATATATAGGGGTTTATATATGTATACACACCCCTATATATAGTATAAATCAGAGGGGAAGAGGGAGAGGAAGGAAGGAGAGAAGAAAGGAAAGAGTGAGAGAAAGAAAAGGAGGGAGAGGAAGGAAGGGAGGGAGGGAAGGTTCTTAACTGTTAAGTCTATGAAGACCAACCCAAGGCATCACCATTCACCTGAGGGCAGGTACACAAGGTATGCTACCCATGAAGAAGTTGTTGTCATCTGTCTGTCCCAGGATCCAGAGCCATATAACAAGGGCAAGACAGGATTTTTCCCAGAGTAACAATAATTACAGGGAGTATTTGTCCTTCAGCATTCTAGAAACAACTGACTAGCACCTAGTTAGCAAGATTCATTAACAGCCTGTTTCCTTCCTCTCCTCATTTCTTGTCTCAGAAGCAGCACACTTACTCCTCTCCATACCCTACTCCACCCTGGCTCCAGCTGGATTTGAGCACTATTTACCCCAACTGCAGAAATTCCTGGTTATAGCTCTGATAGAATCAGAAGGTTGGCAGCAACAAATTGAGGGTTTAGGATGAGGAATGGGATTGAGGAGACAGGATCTGAAGAGCAAGGAGCTATCTATAGCCAGAGTCGTTGAGGGGAAATGAGTCTACCACAGGGCAGTCCAAGCCAGAGTACACACAAGTAGCAGGGTCAGGACATACTGTGGGTCAGAGCTGGTTGGACGAAACAGTGGAGTACTTGGAGGAAAGCCAGAAGCTAAGGATCCCAAAGGACTGTCAATATCGCACAGCCAGGACCAGAGGTGTGCTAGTGAATGTTTAGCAACCTGCTTTCTGGGAGACATATATATGTATATTTGTATGTATGTGTACATATATGTATATATATGTATGTGTATGTATTTATGTATGACACTTTTCAGTTTAATCTACATTATCTAAATCCACCTAAACTGTAGACATTAGTTTAATCTACAATAAACATTTTCTCCATCGATTTCTTAAATCTAACAGAACAGTAAATCGAGCCCTGGTATGTAGTATTTGCTGATTTCAGAGATGCAAATGCTGACCCTGAAAATTTAACAATAGGGGTACACTCCCACGTGGTAAAGGGAGAAGGAGTCTAGAATTTAGAACTGAACCACCTAGATTGAGTTATCTCACTTTCCTTCCTGCCGGGGAGGAGTCAGTGTGGTGTCTGTGTCAGAGAGATCTGAGGCCCCATAGTCCCTCTCTACCCCCAAGTGCCAGGCTCTTTAGCCAGAGCACTGGGTGCTTGGTTTGATTTGTTACCTCCTGTCCTTTAATTGGGATTTGTTTCTGCATTCAGGTTGGTGCTCCTCTGACTGAACGGGAGTTGGAGGATGTGGTGATCTATCTAGGCTCCATGAACAAGCAGGGCGTCATCTATCGGGAAGACCTGGTAGATTCATATAGACGTTGGGTTGCTGCCAAGAAAAATGATAGCCAAGAGAAAAAGAAATGTAAGGACCCAGGGTGCTGGACTGCAGCCTTCCATTCCTCTGAACAATCCATAGACATTTATTCAGAGCTTATGATGCACCAGGCACTGTGCCTGGCCGGCAAGGAACTCCCTCCTTCTGAAGTCAATCAAGTGCCAAAGCACTGAGGGAATGACAAAGAATGAGCCCCTGCCCTCAAGGTTCTTACAGTCTAGTGGGGGGTGGAGTAGGGGACAGGACAGGGAGAGGGCAACCATTTATTGGATCTGAGACTTGCATGCTGGACTGGGAGGCAGGTAAACCTGGGCTCCCGCCCTGCCATAGACATTGGATCCTAAATCTTCCACAGAAATCACATTTACAGTTGGAAGGAAAGTGAGCAGCTCTCTTATCCATCCCTTACCCTCCATTTTGCAGATTAGGAAACTGAGTCCCAGTCACATACATAGGGAATATCTGAGATGAGATTGGAACTGAGGCCTTTTGAATCCAGTTTTTCTAATGCTCTGGAACTAGGATGAGCTATGGAATCCTAGACAAATCTCTTAACCTCTCTCCGTCTCTTTCCTCATTTGTAAAATTGGAAAGAATAACAGCACTTCCCTCACAGGAAGGTCCAGAGGCTCTCAGAGCTCCTGTGTGTTAAAGTGCTCTGAAAACTTTAAGGCACTATGTAATTATCAGCTCTTACTGTTACTACATGGGCACTCTCTCTACAGGGATCAGTCTCAACCTATTCATACTCTATTATCCTGAGGAATTTTTGTTGATATTGTCGTCAATGTCATTATCCTCCACATAGAAGATCTATACAATGCACTTAAAGGCGACCTTCCTCTAAGTCAGTCTCCTAATCTGGAGTCCACAGATTCCCAAAATGTTTGTGGGATAGATTTCAAGGGGTCCATGAACTTGGATGGGAAGAAAAAAGTTACATTTTTATTTCTATATAATTGGTTTTCCTTGTAATCTTCTGTATTTTATTTTATGCATTTAACAACCTTATTCTGAGAAAGGAGTTCACCAGACTACCAGAGTGTCTATGACACAGAAAAAGGTTAAAAAAAAAAAAAAACCCACACTGGGACTGTTCATAGTCCATAGGTAACCATGCAGCACTCAAATGATTTTCTCTGTGACCAGACCACCTCCTTTCCCAATGACTGCCTCTGTAACCAGACTACCTCCTTTTCCAATCTCCCAAGTCCTGCAGAATACCTGGGGTGTCACTTCTTACTCACAAGTCTTCATTGGTGACATTGCCTAGGAAGGATGAAATAAAAATGCAAGGCAGGAGTAAAAAATAAAAATTCACCAAAGTCATAAGGCAGCGCTCAACAGCATGCCAAAGGAGTGATACGGACAGAGGAAGGAGAGATGGTTGTGGAGTAGTTAACTTCTCCACACTTATAGAACCCATCTCTAAGCTCTCTTCTAGCTCTAAATCTGTGATCCTACTTAACTCTTATTGTTAACCTTTTTTTATTTGTTTACGGTTTATGTCCTCATTTTAAATTATAATTTCCTTAAGGGCTTATCCTTAACTTGCCTTAAGACCACTTTTTAAAGTTCCCCACAGCATCTAGTTGAGTGCGTTGGCCATAATCAAGGTTCAATAAATATTTGTTGACAGATGGAGGCAGAGGTGGTAGGGGTGGTGGGAAAGCATAGTACCTTTCCTCCTGCTCTTCTATTGTAATGATATGTTTCTTGTTCCCAATTTTCCCCTGCCCCCACCTCAGATTTTAACTACTGGAAAAGATTGAGACTCAAAAGGCAGCATGTCAAACGTAAGAAGGCAAAGATTTTGACTCCCCCACCCTCCACGCCAAAACTACCCTTATTGGAAGTGCTTCCCATTAACACGGAGCCAGAGAGAATGCATCTGACCTATGAGGACATGGAGGAAGTTGGGAAACGATACAAGGAGTTGAGGCGACAGTCCAAGGTAACTTCCCAACCAAAGGAATTCTCTGTTCCTTGATTATTCTCAGGGCACTAAAAAGTTTCAAAAACAAAATGGGATCACAGCCTGCCTCCCTCATCCCGTGCCTACCAAGGGAATGTTTTCTGGTTCCTCCAAAGCCAGGCCAGCATATGGCATTAATTGGAAAAGTTCTTATGGGCAACACGTTGCATAGATTTTGTAGAAGAAGCCCTGGGCGACGGAGGGCTCTAGTTTCTGCTCTGGTTGTAATCAACCAATAACATTTATTGTGCTAGGGATATAAAAGGAAACAAAAGACAGTCCCTGCCCACAAGGAGCTTACTATCTAATGGGGAAAACAACATACAAACAAACATATACAAAGCAAGATCTATACAGGATAAATAGGAAATAATTAACAGTGGGGAGGCACTAAAATTAAGATGGCTTCCAGTAAAAGATCAGAGTAACCAACTGAGTGACCTTTACTTTTCTCATGTCTTAGTTTCCTCATGTACCAAATGGAGACAATAATCTCTCTCCAGCCTGCTTCAAGTCTTGTTTTTCATTTTTGTTTTTTTTTTAACTAGGCAATGGGGTTAAGTGACTTGCCCAGGGTCACACAGCTAGTAAATGTCAAGTGTTTGGTCTGAGGCCGGATTTGAACTCAGGTCCTCCTGACTTCAGGGCCGGTGCTCTTATCCACCGCGCCACATAGTTGCCCCTCAAATCTTGTCTTAATCACACACCACGTACAGGGTTCAGTTTGGTGTTTGTTTTACCATTTACGTTGTTAGTCATTGTATACATTCTTTACCTGGTAGAACACTGATTTGGAAGGTATAAAAAACAAACAAACAAGCAAACCACTATGCTAATGAAGGGACTAGCCCCAGGGGTGAGGAACCTGGGACCTGGAGGCCTCAGGTGGCCTTCTAGATCCTCAGGTGTGACTTTTTGACTGAATCCACGTTTCACAGAACAAATCCTTTTATTAAAGGAATTTGTTCTATGAAGTTAGCTAGTCACTAGCCTATGATTTCATTGATAGAGGGAACTTCCAGATGAGGAAATTTCCCCCTCCCAATCCAGGTTAGCACCCCCTCTTTGCAAATTTTAGTGTTAGAGAGTGGCCGACAGCCCCGAGGAGTCAGGAGCTGGCTGAATTTAGCCTGAAGGGTAAGTAACTTGCCGGGGCGGGGGTGGGGGGGGGTGGGGGGGGTGTCACATAGTCATATAGTCATTAGGTGACATTTAATCTCCCAGGCCAGCTTTCCATCCACCAAGACTCTCACACAGATGAAAGGGATTGGTATTTATAACTCTGTTACTACCACTGCCACTTAGTAATCCTAGCTTCTCTTCCTGACATTAAACTGGGTGTTTCTTGGTAGAACACCGAGTGCCATGGACTGGGATTCTAGAACACTGAGTTTCATAAACTCGGATTCTAGAACACTGAGGCACTGGGATTCTGGAACACTGACTTTCATGGCTTGAGATTCTAGAACACTGATTTTCTTTTTTTGTGTTTTCATTGTTTTTTTATTTATTTTGTTAAATATTTCCCAATTATATTTTTAAACATTCATTTTTAAAAATTTTCAGTTCCAGATTCTCTCCCTTCCTCCAGCTCCTCCTCCACCCACTGAGAAGGCAAGCAATATGATACCCATTACACATGGGAAGTGATGCAAAACATTTCTATATTAGCCATGTTGCAAAAGAAAAAAAGACAAGAAAAATAAAGTGAAAAACAATATGCTTTATTCTGCAATCAGTCCATCAGTTTTCTTTCTGGAGGTGGACAGCATTTTTCATCATTGAGTCCTTTGGAATTGTCATGGATCATTGTATTGATCAGAATAACTAAGTCTTTCAGAGTTGATCACAATATTACTGCTACTATGTACAATGTTCTGGTTCTGTTCACTTCACTTTGTATTGGTTCGTATGTCTTCCTAGGTTTTTCTGAAACTATCCTCCTCACCATTTCTTATAGTACAATAGTGCTACCATGTATATGCTGTCCTACAATAGCACTATTATATACCACAATTTGTTTAGCCATTCTCTAATTGATGGGCATCCCCTCAGTTTCTAGATTTTCTTTTTTTCCCCCAAAATATTTTATTGTTACATTTTGTTTTATCATCTTTATTTTCATATTGAATATGAAATATGCAAATATTTTCATATTACATATTTCCACCCCCACCCTCCCCTAGTGAGAGCCATTGATTGTAAAAATTTAATTAATTAATAATTGATTGATAATTAATAATTAATAATTAATTGATAATTAATTAAAATTAAAAGCAGTTAGGTAAAATTAACCGATACATCAGCCAAGTCTGATAGCAGGTGCAATGTTCTAAAACCATGGCCCCCAACCTCTGCAGAGAAAGAATCATTCTCACATGGTCTCATTCATGTCCAAGTTTGGGCCATCATTACACAGCACTGAGTTTCATTTTGGTGGGGTTTTTTCCCCCAAGGGAGGTAGGTACATTTTCTAATTTCTTCTTTGGAGCCAAGTTTGGTCAACATAATCACACAGTATTCAGTCTCATTTTTTTATATGTTTGATTTTTCTATTTACATTGCTGTAGTCATTTTGCATTTCATTTTTCTGGTAGAACACTGATTTTCATGCTGTGGTCCTAATATGAATCTGGCCAAATAAAGTTACCCAGAAAAGTCCTCTAGGACCATAGGAGCAATGGATGAGGGATAGAGGTCAGTGGAATGGTTGACTGGGTTCTTAATGGAACTGAATGACATATCTTTTCTAGGGACTACAATGGGAAAATGTCTGTTCTCTGTTACCTTTTACAGAAAAAAATCAATCCCTTGGTGTTTATGGAAAAGCGTCACCTAGTACGAACTGGCAACAAGGCCTATGATGACCACTGCCTCCCATCCACTCTGCCAGATGAGTTTGGGGAGATGATTAATGTCTTCCGAAGGGCTACCTTTTTGGTCTACCTGAAGTGTGTGAAGGCATGTGAAGCCTACGAAGTCCCACTGACCGAAAAGACCCTCATGAAAGGCAAGATGGTGATAATGTGCAGGGAATGAAACTCCAGGATACCTGGGTGTCAACAAACTACCTCTATAAACCTTAGTTCTTCCTTTAGTTAAAACACCGCTGACTAAATTCTTCATTTCTTTAAGAATCCTGCCAAAGCGACCATCAGAGGAAGGTAGCCTAGCTTGGCTTTTAACTAGCCCGACATTGAAGATTTAACCTTCACGGCATCTCCTATATCAGTCCCCTTCTCTTCATTCACACAGTCACCGATATAGTTAAAATACTTATCATCTTTCTTTGGACTATTGAAATAGCCTTCTGATTGGTCCCTATGACACAGGTCTCTTCCCACTCCAGTCCATCCTGCAGATAGCTATGAAAGTTATTTTAGTTATTCGTTTACTCAGTAACACTCTAGTGACCCCTCTTTCCTCTACTGAGCTTGACTACAAACTCCCTTATTTGACATTTAAAGTCTTTTACAGGACAGCTCCATCTTAGTCTTCCAGCCTTATGTCATTATATCATTCCCCTTCACGTATACTATGGTCCAGCCAAATTTGGCTCCAGAAAACCTGAATTTAAATCCAAGCTCAGACACTTACTAGCTGTGTGATCCTGAACAAGTCACTTAACTTCTGTTTGCCTCAGTTTCCTCATTTGTTAAATTGGGATAATAATAGTACCTACCTCCCAGGGTTGTTGTGAGGATAAATGAGATGTATATAAAGTACTTTGGGAACCTTCAAGTACTATTTAAACTTCTTAGCCCAGTTCTTGACACATAGTAGGCTTTAATAAATGCTTGTTAACTGAACGTCAAGAGAAGAAAATAATTCCTTTCCTTGATTCATGATAATTAGAGAAGGAGGTTTGTCCTCTTTCTTTCTATATCATGAGCCCTTCACTGGCTCTTCCCTTGAAGCTCTTGCATTTTCAAATAAAGATTTAATCCAAGTCATCAAAAAAATAGTGACCCATCTAAAACTTATTCCCCAAAGGAAACAATAAGCAAATCGGAAATTGTAAACCACTCCATGAACAAAGAGAGGGAAAAGCTTAGGAGTGAATGACCCCATCTGCAGTGAGAGGGGGAAGAGAGAAATTCATAGGAGCATAGAGTTTAGAGTTGGTAGGGACAGGAGAAGCCTGTAATAGATAGACCTTTTACAGCTCTCCTGGAGGACAAGAGTCAACAACTTTCTGCATCAGAGTGCTAGCAGCTGGGATGAAGCCAGTGTCTTGGAGTTCATATCTCTGTGTCAGCAACACCCCATCAAATTGGCTACTGTCCCCCATCATGCTGCCTCAAGCATTCGCCCCTCATAAAAACTGCCCGTGAAGTAGCCAGCACATCAGAAGAATGAATTCCTCCCACTCCCAGCCTCTCCATCTTGCCTTGCAATAACATCTCAGAGTGAAGGGATAGGAGTCCTCTGTCTGGAGTACAATTCCCACAAGTCTGTGGGGATTCTCAAACCATTCTCAAACCCCTTCCTGATCTGCATATGTAGTCTCCCACTATAGAATGTAAGCACCCTGACGGCAGAAATTGTTTCATTTTTGTCTTTGTAATCCTAGTGCCTGGAGCATAGTATGAATTTTTAAAATGCTTGCTGTTTGGTTGGCTCAAAAATATGAACATCCTGACTCTGCATTCTATAGTTTGAAGTTCTAGGACACGGAATGTTGTGGGTTGAAATTCTAAAACATTGGCTTTTTAAAAAACAGATTCTCATTTGTAGCTTTTGTCTTTAGATCACCTTTACTTTCCCCTATTCCTTCCTTTCCGTCCTCCTAGGAAGCTATACCATACAATAAAAAATTATTTTTTAAATTAAGAATTTTTAAAAGAAAAATCCTGCAAAACCAATACACTGAAATACATTGAATATGTATAAAATATAGACAAATATGTTGAAAAAAATCTGACATTTTATGTAATGTTGCACACCTGTGGATCCCCCATCTCTGAGAAGTTGGGGTGGGGGGCTGTTTTTCATGAGATGATCTTACTCAGATGATCTCAGGATAAGAATGTGGCCCAAAAGACTTATACAAAGTGTAAATTTGACCTGCTATTATATATATGTTGTGGGCTCTAGTGAAAATCTTCCTCAGTATAGGTTCTACTGGGTTATTTTTCCAGTAAAATTAAATTTTCAGTAAATTCAATACATTTTCAGTAAAATTAAATTAAGTACCAATTTTAGGCAGTATGATGCAGTGAATGAATTTCTATCTTAGATTCAAATGAGGGCCACCAAACTGTACTAAGGATCGGCTGTGGGCTACATATTGATTTAGAAAACCACCAATTCACATTATCTAAGTTTTATTGTATGTTCATTAATTTTCTTCAATATTTCCCAATTACATTTTAATCTGATTCTGGCTCCTGCACAACAGAACGTTGTGTCAATGACCTAAGCTGTGTGTTTGATACCTCTGGTGTAATGGATACAGAGCTCCCTTTGGAGCCAGGAAGACTTGGGTTCAAGTTCCACCTTTGAAACATGTTGTATGGCCATGGGCAAGTCATTTAATCTCTCAGTGCCCCTCACCCCCTAACCACTGACTATAAATTGTAAGATAGTTGTCGATCTACACCGATATTGGTGGTTTCTGCATAGAGAATGCCTTCTACCAATTGAAGTCATAGGTCTTTTTTTTTTTTTAATGTGCTAGTCACTTAGAATATAAAGACAAAATTAAAACAGCCCTTGACATAAAGGAATTTAAACTTCACTGTACATTGATAAATAAATACAAAATAATCTGAGAAAGAGAGCTCACTAATGAAGGTGGGGAGGGTTCCTGTAGGAGGTGGTATGTGAGGTGAACCCTGAAAGTAACTAAGGATTCTAATTGGAGGTAAAGAGAAATACATTCCAGGCAAGGGAGATAGCGCAAAGGAACCAACAGAGGAAGATGGAATGAGGAGTTTAGAGAATAGCAAATAAGTTTGGTTGGACCATGGAGTGCATGAGGGGCAGGAATATGAAGTAAGTCTGGAAAGGTGGACTAGAGCCAGACTATGAAAAAAGTTTGAATACTAAGCTGAGAAGTTTTTATTTTCTCCTAGAAACAACAGGGAATTACTGAAGGTCCTTGAACAGGGAACTGATTTATTTAGACCAACTTTGGCAGCTGTGTGGAAGATAGATTTGAATGGGGAAATAGATTTGAAGCAATGAAACCAATTATGAAGTTCTTTTACTTTTTTCAGGTATAGGACAGCTATTTATATCCTATACACAAAAGAAATACTAAAAACAAAAAGGTTGTCACAAGAATGCACTGACGGAAAAACTTAGAACAGAATACAGTTTCAATACAATATTATATTCTCCTGGGAGATGAAGATGCATTGCAGTTTGCAGAACTGCTAAATAAACATTTTGCTTTTCACCTCAGCTCGGCACTGTCCAAACAATTTCCTCCAGGTCCACGTCTTCTGGCAAGCTAGGTCGTGACTTGGGCTCGTCTTCCTGCTGCTAGTAAGCTATACAACAAGCACTGAAATGGATGTAGGGGACAATTTTCACAGGGCAGCTGACATTGACTGTAGGCCCCAGGTGCTCTGATCTCTCCAGCTCACAAGGTTTCCTCCAAGGCAGAGACTGTTTGATTTTTGTCTTCATGTACCCAGCACTTAGAAAAGTGCTTGGCATATAGTAGGTGCTTAATAAATGCTTGTTGATTGATTGGTGAGCCTGACGGCCAGCTGAGCTGTTCTCTTTCCACAATGACCTTGTCATTCTTTTTAAAATTTTGTTATTTATCTTTTAACATTCACTTTTTTAAAATTTTGAATTCCAAATTTTCTCCTTCCCTCCAGCCCCTTCCCCTATCCATTGAGAAGGCAAGCAATATGATATCAGTTATACATATGAAATAATGCAAAATACGTTTCCATATTAGCCATGTTGTGAAAAAAAAAGGCAAGAAAATAAAGTGAAAACATTATACTCTGATTTACACTCATAGAGCTCATCCGTTCTCTCTCTGGAGGTAGATAGCATGTTTCATCATGAGTCCTTCTGCAATTACGAAGTAGCCATGTGGGTGGAAAGGAGAGGGACATGAAGGATGTTGTAGAGGTAGAATTGATGTAATTTGGCAATTCATTTGATATTTGAAGCAGAGATGGGGGTGACTCCAAGCTTGCAAACCATGGTTTGCAAGGTAGCTTGAAATCTTTAATAGATTATAGATGATTCTGGTGGAGGGTCAGGTTTGTGGAAGAAGCTAATTAATTTTGTTTTGGACACAGTAAATTTGAGATGCTTTTAGAACATTCAGGTAGAAGTGTCCAGCAAGTAGATGACAGTGAAGGATAGGCGCTCAGGAGAAGATCCACTGTGTGTATCTCCATCACCTAGCACATAGTAGGAACTTAATAAATGCTTGTTGAATATAAATGAATGAGAGACGAGGGCCGGACATATAGATTGAGTCATTGTGTAGAGATTTAGAGAATCATATTTACTTTTTTTTTGCCCCCCCTTCCTTCCTTAACTCCCCTTCTGATATATATTGATGCAGAACCAGGAACACATTTGAATGTATTATTAACCACTTGGTAAGTGCCAGTCCTCTAGGGCTGTGTGAAGAATATAAATGAAATAAGAGTATACACAGAATCTTTTGTGGAAGATGCTTTTTCAGTGTTTCTTACACAACTATGTTTCTGCCCCTTTGAATCAATAAATTGTCCCAGTCAGAAAAGGACACCATTTTATACACATGTATGGTTATATCTATAATGAAAGCTATATACTCTCTTTCTCTGATATCCTTCACACAGCCCCAGAAGATTGACACAGTCCTAACATCTAAATTTACATCTTACTGACATAAGAACTTAGAGACTGCAAGCTGGAAACACTGATACCTAGTGCTATTTGGTGACTATGAAACAACTGTATATTGCCTACTTGTGGCTTGGCTGATAGAAATGTAGATTTGGGATTCTCACCACAAGATAGAGGTGAGTCATTTCACACAGGAGACCCTGTTTTTACCACAGAGTTGGTCAAGACCATACTTGTGGAACTGCCTGAGAAGACTTTCAGAGTTAGGCCACGGAAAGACTCCAGGGTCTCTACACTACCACATGCTTCTTGGAAGTTTGACTGCAGGTCAAAACTTTTCTTACTGAATGAGCTGACTGGAAGGCATGTCTGTGAACAACCATCTATGATCTGAAAGTAGGAGATCCTCCAGAGCCCAGCCAAGGGAGTGAAGAGCTGAGAAGATTCCAGGCTCAGGGGGATATTGCTTTTGCTAAAGGACTTTAACTCTGCTTGGGTAGCTGTAGCCCCACCCAATATGGAAGCAGAGGACCAGAAAAGGAGCAGTTTTTCCCATCAGTGAACTGTGGTCCAGTTATGTTCCTAAGGGAAGCAAGGACACCAAGGCTCACAGTCAAGAGTTATGAGTGGCCCTGGGCAGATATGTTTTCTACTCATGAGCTTCCCTACTATGTATGGTTCTGTAAGATTGGGCTCACTCTCCACCCCAGCCCCACCCCACCCTCCTGGCTCTGCTTTTCAAGCAGTGAAGTGGTGCAGTGGGTATATCCAGGACTAGAGTAAGGAAGATTCATCTCCCTGAGTTCAAATCCAGCATCAGGCACTTACTAGCTGTGTGATCCTGGGCAAGTTACTTAACCTTGTTTGTCTCAGTTTCCTCATCTGTAAAATGAGCTGGAGAAAAAAATAGCAAACCACTGAAGTATCTTTGCCATGAAAACCCCAAATGGAGTTACAGGAAGAGTCAGAAATGATTGAACAACAACAAAGTGTTCCAGGTGCAATGGTATGTTTTAATTTTTCTTGCTTTGCTTTTTGTTGAGTAAATGTTTCTGATTGAGTTAATGCTGTTGGGGCGGTTAAGTGGCTCAGTGGATAAGGCTCCAGCCTTGAAGTCTGGAGGACCTGAGTTCAAATCTGACCTCAGACACTTGACATTTACTAGCTGTGTGACCTTGGGGAAGTCACTTAACCCCGATTGCCTCACCAAGAAGAAAAAAAAGAGTTAATGCTGTCATTTGGCTGATTTACTAAATGTGAGGGCTACTACTACTACTACTACTACCACCACTACTACCACTACTCCTACCACCACTACTACTACAAAAGCTGTGAGTAATAGGAGTATATTTCCTACACCAGGATTACCTAGGACCCTGAGAGTGAATTGCAGCAGCATGAATTCCCTGTCTGAAAATCCTCAGCTTATCAGAGTGAGGACAAGATGAATAAGCCGGCTCAAAGTGAGAAAATAGAGAACTGGAGAGAACAGTGTAATACCTACTTGTGCTTCACATTAAAGGGTCATGTTAAATCTTTGTAAGTTATCTATTTCATGCAGGGCATTGTGGCCAGCACTGACAGACCCTGTTCCCCCCAGCTGAGAGTGTTCTAGCCCAGCTCCCTGTGTTCCTCCCCTAGCTCAGTGCAGATGACTCCCACAGCTCTGTTATAGGGCTGTATCTCCCATTTCCATGCGTTTGCACTGGCCATCCCTCATGTTTAGAATACTCTCCCTCCTCACCTCCTTCTATTGTGTCAAGAGGTACGTCTGGCACCACCTTCTAAATGAAGCCTTTTCTGATTCCCTCAACTGTTAGTGCCTTCTCTCCTGAGATACCTTGTATCTTGTATGTATTTACATTTATCAGTTTTGTTCACTCTTTCTCTTCTTGTACATATACTTGTCTCTTCCATTAGACTATACACTCCTTGAGTGTTGAAATTGTTTCACTATTTGTATCTGTCGCATCTAACACAGTGCTTGGCACATAAGAGATCCTTCACAAATGTTTGTTGATTGACCAATTGGTTAATCAACTTTGAGTTAATAGCAGAATGAGTAGGTATAGTATGAGGATCCGGTTGAACTGAAACTCGTGAGGGCCGAGATTATTTTGTCTTTGACTACGTATCTCCACATATTAAGCCTTGCCTATATGGCAATCAGTCAATTATCAAATGCCGAGCACTGTGCTAGAGACAAAGACAAAGATTCAACAGTCGCTGCCCTCAAGGAACCCACCTTGAACACTTGTTGGATTGGCTTGGCTTGGCTTACGGAGCAGATAAGGGAAGGCCCCTCTATCCGGAACTTGGAGTCCCTCGCTTATCTACAAGGAAAAGGATTCCTTCAAATCCTAAAATCAAAGATTCACGTAGGAAGCCCTCTCCAAACCTGCTTTTTTTTTTCTTCTTCTCTCGTTGACAGCTCTACTTTACCCTGGAGATAAACTCATCTTGGAGAAAAAAAATGTTCTCAAGCTCAGACAACCAGGAGGCTATTACGATGAAGTGAAAGAATTTATACCGACTAAAGAGAAGTTCCATACGATACAAGAGTCAGTACCTGTGAAGTATGTTCAGCCTTGTTTCTAGCTTCTCCAATCTTGCCTCCACCTTGCCTTATTAGCTGTGTGACCCTGAGCCAGTCATGTAACTGCTCTCAGCCTCAGTTTCCTCATCTGTAAAATGGGGATAATAATAGCACCTATCTCATGGGGTTGTTGTGTGAGATCAAATGTGATATATGTAAAATGCCTCATAAACCTCAAGTGTTATATAGATGTTAACTATGTTCCCCCCTATGACTCATTTGAGAGAAATTTGTAGAGTTTATCTCTTCCTTGGACTGCTTGAACTGTGGATCAGAGTATTTTCACCTTACACTGATACCCTAAGCCTGGGCTCCCCTTTCTTCAAAACTGGGGTCCCAAATAGTTTTTTCATGACTTAGCGGTAGGTTGAGGGAGGGCAGCCATGCATAGGCTGGATCATGGTCCTGTGTCATGGGGAGAGAATAACATTCTCAAGGAGGCCCGAAGGCAACTCCTACTTCATCTCCCAACCCAGGTGAGGGGTCTGCGCTGCTGATCTCTTGATCAGAAAAATGGCAACCATCAGCCTCTCCTATTCACTTCTGTCTCAGCAGCTGGGGTACTACTTCTATGGAGAGGGGGCAGGCTCATGAAGCAGCTGGGACAGCTAGGAGGTGTGTAGCAGAGGAGTGTACTGGGGGCAAGGAGTAGGGTGCATGCCAGTGTGTCATGTTTTTGAAAGAAGATATTGCCCTTAGGACAGTTTCTGACATTTCTCTCGACAAGGCAGGGCCCAGCTTCACTCAAGAGCTGAAGTTTTGGTGACAATCTCAGAGCTCCCTGGGGGAGCCCCCTTTTGGATGCAGCTCCCCTTTCCCACCCCCAACTGTTGCTACAGACTTGAATTTCCTCCCCTTTTAACCAGGAGCCTTTTTCTCTCACCCCTTCTAGGACGTCACAGAGGCCAATTAAGAAAATGAGTTTTGGAGAGTTTGAGGCTCTGACCAGGTCTGTATAGACTGTTTAGGCTGTTGACAGACAGATGGATCACAGAGGTTGTGTGTGATTGTGGGGATGGGTGGGGAGAGACCCAGAGCCTAACAGTGGGACCAGGTGTCAATCCCTATCATGAGCCTAGATTGTCTGTAAAGAGGCATCTTGTGAATAACCGAAAGCCTTGTGCAGCTACCCACAACCCAACCCTAGAACCCCGGAGGGAATGTCAGGGATAGGTGTAAGGGGAGGTTAGAAATGGAAGTCAGTAGTCCTATACAGTGTAAGTACAGAGGGAAGGCACTAAGGAAGGCGGGGGGGGGGGGCAGGAGTGGGAAGAAGGTGTTCAGGAAAGGCCTCTGGCAGAAAGTAGGATTGGAGATGCTTCAAGGAAACCAAGGTGGCAAGGGAGGAATAGAGACTACTTTAGGGAGGGGAGGGGGGCAGGTCCTCTCTTCCATCCCTCTACTCTGAACATCCTCATAGGCTATATTTTGGAGCTGAAAGAAAATAGATGTACCTCTAGATGTAACCTAACATCCTTCCAGATATCAGCACACTGGTCTGGAAGTCAAGACACTTGGTGCTGGTCCCAAGCTCTGTTATTCACTAACCAATTATTATAAGGCAATGGGCTATAATGGCTTTGGAATCAGTGGTCCTGGGTTCAAATTCTAGCTCTCATGTTGATTCCTGTGAGATCCCAGGCAATTCACTTCACCTCCTTGGGCCTTGTTTTCTCATCTGTAAAATGAGAGGATTATACTAGTTGGCCTCTGAGGGATCCTCTGGTTTTAGAGCTATGATCCTCTCTGGTCTTGGACAAATCACTCCCCCTTTTGTGGGTTTCAGTTTCTTCATGAAATGTTGGCAGTTTCCAAGTTCCCTTCTATTGGTTCTAGTGGAAGTAAGCCTGTAAGGAATCTTCACTCAGGTATTTAGCATTGAGAAACTCAACTCCCTTCGTCCCCCAAAGCCACTGACTGTTAGCACCACTGACGGACATGGGAGGAGGATAAGAAAAATGATATTTACGTTTGTCACTTTGATTCCCTGTTGGTAAACTATGGTAGAAGCCTTAAAAAGCAGGCTGAAATTATTGACAGAAATTAATATTGAAAATTATCTGTTCATTCTAATGATCCATAGCCTCTCCATACTTAGTTACCATTAGATTATCTGAAGTTAGTTAGAGTTAATCCTGGGGGTAGAGGTGGGAGGTATCCTGTCCACAGCCAGCAGCTGAGAATGAGCCAGTGTCTGGAAACTACCTGCCGCCCAAAACTGGGAGCCTGAGAGGCACTGGACAACCTTCTGTGGTCCTTGGCCCACAGGATAAATCAAACCCATGCATTTGGCATCTTTTTATCCTTTCTCATTATCAACCACCTCCCTCCCCTTTTCTAGCTACATGTTCACACCCCCATCTCCTAGAGTTTAGTAATGCCTCCTTTGTGAAAGGGACAAGCCAACCACTGTCTAGGTCCTTCTCCATTGAAAATCCAGGTTGTTCCTTGGTTTATACCCTGGTTAAGCTTGTAGAGTGGTTAGTGCATACCACCCAACCCAGAAGTAGCTGCATTTCAGGCAATGTGACAGGTCCAGGTCTCACTGTGATCAATACCTCCACCTCCTCACCTCCCATCTCATTTCACTTCCTAGGAAACTCAAGCACAAGGGCCATCGTAGGACTTACAGTGAGATTCAGGGAACCCACCCCAATTTCTTCTGGCCGGGACACCTTCTGGATAAACTGCTGCTATACCTCCCCAACAAGAAGTGGAAAAGGCAACTGGTTCTTTTCAGCCAGGTGGAGAAGTTGCCTCACACCTACCCAGCCATCTACCATCCTGACCGCTTTTGGCCCATTTCTGATGCAGGCTATATAACCTTTGGCAATTTTGATCATCATAAAAGAAGCTGCTGACACAGATTGGGTAGAGACTGGAAGACCCAATACAGCAGCAGTATTGGGTCCCACTGTCCGTTAGACTACAGATCTATACCTGTTGACTGAAATCTAATACCGACCTCACCTTCCTAAAGCTGATCACAGAGCCAATAGACATAATGAGTATGTGAGGAGCTAAATGACATAGTAATAAAAATTATAAGACATTGGGCCAAAAATGCAGTCTTTAAAATCAAGCCTTGCTGTATCACATTACGAATCACCAACACCTTGACAGACCCAAAGATCTAAGCTTTTAGGGTAATAAAAACTCAACATCTGACAACAATTGCTGGGAAAACTAGAAATTAGTTTGGTAGAAACTGCATAGACCAACATCTCACACCATATACCAAAATAAAGTCAAAATGAATAAATGATTTAGACATAAAGGGTAATATCATAAGTGAATTAGGGGAGCATGGAAAAATATACCTGTTAGATCTATAGATAAGGGAAGAGTTTATGACCACATAAGAGATAGAGAGGATTATGGGAGGTAAAATGGAAAATGTTGATTACATGAAATTAAAAAGATTTTACATAAATAAAACTAATGCAGTCAAAATTAGAAGGAAAGGAGGCAATTGGGGAAAAAAATCTTTACGGCAAGTTTCTCTGATAAAGGCCTCGTTTCTTAAATATATAGGGAATTGAGCCAAACTTATAAAAATAAGAGCCACTTCCCAACTGACAAATGGTCAAAGGATATGAACAGGCAGTTTTCAAAAGAAGAAATCAAAGCTATCAATAGTCACATAAAAATGCTCTAAATCACCACCAATCGTTGCTGTTGTTCAGTTGTGTTTGACTCTTTGTGAGCCCATGGACCATAGCATGCTAGACCCTTCTTTCTTCCACTATTTCTTGAGTTCTGTCTAAGTTCATGTTCATTGATTCCATGACTATCTATCCATCTCATCCTCTGCCATGCCCTTTTCCTTTTGCCTTTAATCTTTCAGGGGCTTTTCTAATGAGTCCCATGGTTCTCATTCTGTGATCAAAGTATTTAAGCTTCAGCTTCAGTATTTGACCTTCCAGTGAATAGCCTGAATTAATTGAAGCATTGACTGGTTTGATCTCCTTGCTGTCCAAGGGACTCTCAAAAGTCTTCTCTAGCACCATAATCCAAAAGAATCAATTCTGTGGCATTCAGCTCTCCCTATAGTCCAACTTAAACAACCATACATTGCTGCTGGAAAAACTGTAGCTTTGACTGTATGGGCCTTTGTCAACAAGGTGATATTTACTTTTTATACAGCTAGCAAGTGTCTAAGGCTAGATTTGAAATCAGGAAGATGGTTCCCAGTACAGTGCTCTATCTACTGCACCTAGCTACCCCCTACTACTGATAAGAGAAATGCAAATTAAAAGAACCCTGAGACACCATTTCATATCTATCATATTGGCTGACTTGACAAAAAAGGCAATGCTGGAGGGGATGTGGAAAAATAGGGACACTAATGCATTGTTGATGGAGTTGATCCTGGCCTGACTATTCTGAAGAACAATTTGGTACTATACCCAAAGGGCTCTAAAGCCCTGCATACCCTTTGACCCAGCAATACCACTACCAGGCTTGCATTCCAAAGAGATCAAAGAAAAGGAGAAATGACCGATTCATACAAAAATATTTATAGTAGCTCTTTTTGTGGTGGCAAATATTTGGAAATTGAGGGGATATCTGTTAGGGAATAGCTGAACAAGTTGTGGTATATGATTATGAAGGAATACTATTGTGCTATAAGAAATGAGAGCACAATGGTTTCAGGAAAACCTGGGAAGACTTAGATGAGCTGATGCAAAGTGAAACGAGCAGAATCAGGAGAACGTTGTACACAGTAACAGCAATATTGTAAGGATGATCAACTATGTAAAACTTAGCTGCTCTGGTCAAGACAATAATTCAACACAGTTCCAAAGGACTTATAGTGAAAAACGTTATTCTCTTCCAGAGAAAGAACTGATGAATTCTGAATAGTGATTGAATCATACTTTCTTTTACTTTCTTTTTATTGTTTTATTTTGTTTGTGTTTTCTTTTGCAACATGGATAATATGGAAACATGTTTTGCATGACTTCATATGAATAATCATTATCAGACTGCTTGCCTTCTCAAGGAGGGGAGGAAGGAAGAAAATTTGGAACTCAAAATTTTCAAATATGATTGTTAACATCTTAGGGGAGAGGGTAGGGAGGAATAGAATTTGGGACTCAAAACTTTTAAAAAATGTTTAAAATTATTTTAACACGTAATTGGGGTAAAAAACATAAAATAGATTTTTTAAAATGATTGTTTAAAATTTTCCATGTAATTAGGAAATAATTAATTGAATATAATAATTAAAAAACAAATTACCAACACCCATACAAATCAGTACACTCTCCCCAAATTAGTTGACTACTCTTCCCTCTTCCCCAGATGGAATTTTTTAAAGAATCAGCATTTTATGCAACAAATGCAATCCTAGAAAACTTGCCTTGGAATTGTAGATGGTTAGATTTTGCAAGACTGGGTCTTAGTAATATTGATGCAGAATGTATCCATAACAATACTGACAATGCTCATTTGAGATCCTTCTCACCTCAGGATCTTCATAAATGTGCCAGAGAGAAGTAGACACTAGACCGAAAGGTAGAGGACCTGAGATTATGGGAGTACTTTATCCCCAGAGTGTCTCGGTACCTCAGTTCTTTTGTCTGTGAAGGAAGGCGATCTAGTACCTCTCAGGGTTGTTTACTGACAGTTTGAAATTAATGTCTGCAAATTGCTTTCCTCTTTGGAAATGGAAATATGGTAGCTGAAACCTTCCCTTATTTTATATATATATATATTTTAGGCAATTGGGGTTAAGTGACTTGCCCAGGGTCACACAACTAGTAAGTGTCAAGTGTTTGGTCTGAGGCCAGATTTGAACTCAGGTCCTCCTGATTTCAGGGTTGGTGCTCTATCCACTGTGCCACCTAGCTGCCCCTCCCTTATCATATTAATCAATATATGTCAATCAATCAACTTCCCTCTCATCATTTGTCTACAACTTTGGTACCTGGGTACCATTGGTACCTCCATTCATTGGAGTTGGCTTCCATGAATTCACTCTTAAGTGTTCTCCATGCACTTTTCTTGTCCCCTTGATGTGACTGTACATACATTCCTTGAGAGTACAGGCTCTGTTTTCCTTGTGTCCTCTCTCTCCTGTTAGCACCTATTACAAAAGACATATAATAAATCTGAATGAATAAATAAATAAATGAACAAATTCTGAATAATTAAATGTGGCCCATTTCTTGCATCATTATATCTAAAGGAAAGTGTCCTAGACTGGGAGTCAGGAGACTTGACTTCAGGCCTGAGTTCTAGTTCACTAATTAGATGCATGTTCTTGGGATGGATTCTTCACTGTTTGGGGTCTCAGTTTCCTCCTTGAGCAAATGAAGTGACTGAGTAAGATGACCTCCGATGTCCTTTCCTGCTCTGATGTCCTATGGCTCCATTAATAATAACTAACAAAAAAATAAGTAATCTTATTAGTATGCAGTGTGATTCCTCTGTGACAGCTTTGTGGCATAGTTGAATATGTCAAATACCAGGTCTGCAGTCAGGAAGACCTGAGTCCAAATCTGGCCTCAAACACTTACTAGCAGTGTGACCCTGGGCAAGTCACTTAACCTGTTTGCCTCAGTTTCTTCATCTGTAAAATGAGCCGAAGAAGGAAATTACAAACCACTTCAGTATCTTTGCCAAGAAAATCCCAAATGGACATATCAAAACTTATGGGATGCAGCGAAAGCAGTTCTTAGGAGAAGTTTTAAATCTCTAAATGCTTACATAAATAAAATAGAAAAAGAGGAGATCAATGAATTGGGCATACAACTAAAAAAACTAGAAAAAGAAGAAATTAAAATCCTCAATTAAACGCCAAATTAGAAATATTGAAAACCAAAGGAAAAATTAATAAAATTGAAATTAAGAAAACTATTGAACTAATAAATAAAACTAAGAGCTGGTTTTATGAAAAAACCAATAAAATAGATAAACCTTTGGTTAATTTAATTTAAAAAAAAAGAAGAAAACCAAATTACTAGTATCAAGAATGACAAGGGTGAAGCTACCACCAAGGAGGAGGAAATTAAAACAATAATTAGGAATTATTTTGCCCAACTATATGCCAACAAATTTGACAATCTTAGTGAAATGGATACATATTTACAAAAATATAAATTGCCCAGATTAACAGAAGAGGAAGTAAAATACTTAAATAACCCCATGTCAGAAAAAGAAATTGAACAAGCCATTAATGAACTCCCTAGGAAAAAATCTCCAGGGCCAGATGGATTTACATGTGAATTCTATCAAACATTTAAAGAACAACTAATTCCAATACTATATAGACTATTTGGGAAAATAGGTGAAGAAGGAGTCTTACCAAATTCTTTTTATGATACAAATATGGTGCTGATACCTAAACCAGGAAGAGTCAAAACAGAGAAAGAAAATTATAGACCAATTTCTCTAAAGAATATAGATGCAAAAATTTTAAACAAAATATTAGCAAATAGATTACAGCAACTTATCACAAGAATAATACACTATGACCAGGTAGGATTTATACCAGGAATGCAGGGCTAGTTCAATATTAAGAAAACTATCAGCATAATTCATTATATCAACACCAAAACTAACAGAAACCACATGATATCTCAACAGATGCAGAAAAAGCTTTTGACAAAATACAACACCCATTCCTATTAAAAACATTAGAGAGCATAGCTATAAATGGAGTCTTCCTTAAAATAATAAATAGCATCTATCTAAAACCTTCAGCAAGCATAATATGTAATGGGGACAAGCTAGAAGCATTTTCAATAAGATCAGGGGTGAAACAAGGATGTCCATTATCACCACTGTTATTCAAGCTAACTGGAAACATTAACTTTAGCAATAAGAGAAGAAAAAGAAATTGAAGGCATTAGAATAGGCAAAGAAGAAACAAAGCTATCACTCTTTGCAGATGACATGATGATATACTTAGAGAATCCTAGAGAATCAAGTAAAAAACTACTTGAAATAATAAACAACTTTAGCAAAGTTGCAGGCTATAAAATAAACCCACATAAATCATCGGCATTTCTATATATTACCAACAAAGCCCGACAGCAAGCGATAGAAAGAGAAATTCCATTTAAACTTACCATAGACATTATAAAATATTTAGGAGTCTACCTCCTGAAACAAACCCAGGAACTCTATGAACACAATTACAAAACACTTCTCACACAAATAAAGTCAGATCTAAATAATTGGAAAAACATCAGTTGCTCATGGGTAGGCTGAGCTAATATAATTAAAAAAAAAGAAAATCCTAAATGGGGTCATGAAGAGTCAGGCATGACCAAAAAACAACAACAAAAGAAAACAATTAATATGAGGAACAAAAAGTCAAGAATCTCAAGGATAATAATGAAAAAAAAGGGGGGGGATCTATCTGTACCAGACCTCAAACTATACCACAAAACAGTAATCATTAAAATTATTCGCTACTGGTTAAAAAATAGATGAGTGGAATCAATTAGTGGAACAGTACAACATAAAGCAACAAATGAACACAGTATATTGTTAGAGAAATCCAAAGACCTCAATCACTATTTGACAAAAACTGTTGGGAAAACTGGAAAGCAGTTTGGCAGAAATTAAGTATAGACCAATATTTTGCACCTTATACCGAGATAAACTCCAAGTGGGAATGACTTAGCCTTAAAAGGTGACATTATAAGCCAATTAGAGGACTAAGGAAAAAAGTACCTTTCAGTTTTATGAATAGAGGAAGAATTCCTAACTAAATAATCCTCGATAAAGAGGATCATAGAAAATAAAATGTATAATTTTGATTACATAAAATTTAAAAGATTTTGCACAAACAAATCTAATTATAGTTGAAATTTGGAGGCATGTAAATAGAGAAATATCTCTTTACAGCGGAGTTTCTCTCACATCAAAGATATGTAAAGAACAGATTCAAATTTATTGACTAAGAGTCATTCCACAATTGAAAAATTGTCAAAAGATATGAACAAAATAAAATTTCAAAGGAAGTAATGCAAGCTCTCAAGAATAATATGATATGATGCTTCAAATCACTAATAATTAGAGAAATGCAAATTAAAGCAAATCTGAGATTCTACCTCATATCTATCAGATTGACAAAGTTAAAAAAAAAGGAAAATTGTAATGTTGAAGGGGCTGTGAGAAAACAGGCACACTAGATCTGTGAATTGGTCTTGCCATTCTGGAAAGCAATTTGGAACTATGCCCAGAAAGTAACCAAAATGTCCCTATTCTTTGATGCAGCTTTAGCACTAGTAGGCCCATACTCAAAGAAATTAAAGAAAGAACATGGTCTACATATACAAAAATATTCTTGTTTTTGTTTGTTTGTTGTTTTTTTTTTTTCAGGCAATTGGGGTTAAGTGACTTGCCCAGGGTCACACAGCTAGTAAGTGTCAAGTGTTTGGTCCAGGTCATATTTGAACTCAGGTCCTCCTGACTTCAGGGCCGGTGAACTATCCACTGCGCCACCTAGCTGCCCCCAAAAATATTCTTAAGGGCTTTTTTCACACAGTAAAAAAAAACCAACCTTGACATTAAGGGGCTACCCTTCTGTTAGGGAATGTATAAAAGAATTATAGTGTATTAATATAATTAACATTTACATAGCATTTACTGTACTCCAGATAGTGCACCAAGCAGTTTGCAGTTATTATCTCATTTGATACTTACAACAATCCTCGGGTGTAAATGCTATTATTATCCTCTTTTTACAGAAGAGGAAACTGAGGCAAACAGTGGTTAAGCGACTTACCTAACAGTGTTACCCAGCTAGTAAGTGTCTGAGGCTGGATTTGAACTTGTCTTCCAGGCATTCTACCCATTGGACCACCTAGCTGTCCCCAGAATATATATGAATATAATTAAATTTTATTATGCCATAAGAAATGACAAAAGTTTTAGAAGAAACTGAGATTTCTATGAAGTGATGAGGAGTAAAACGAACAATTTACACAATGACAACATTATAGAGAAAAACAACTTTGCAAGACTTTAGAGCTCTGATCAATGTAATGATACATCATGAGACCTAAGGATAGACGACGAGACAGGTCACCTACCTCCTCTTAAAATCTAGAATGAGACACTTACTAGCTGTATGACCCTGGGCAAGTCACTTAATCAGATTGTCTCACTGTCTCACCACAAAAAAAAAAAAAAAAATTAAAAAAAAATCTAGAAAGAGCTATGCATTTCTGGACATGGCCAATGTGGAGACTTGTTCTGTTGGACTATCCATATTTATTATGATGGTTTTATTTTTCCTTTTGGTGTTTTATTGTTCAGTCGGGAGAGCGATATAATAAATGTGAAGCTCTCCTATTTCTTTTGCATGTATCCAGTTTATACAAGTCTTTGAGAAATTTAACAGAAATAATTTTTTTTTAATCTTATGGCTCGGCATGTAAAACAAAGCCTAAAGAAGGAGACAGATGCTCCCCAAAGCATCTCTCCCAGAGCCTAGCACAGTGTTCTACAGCCAGTGGGAACTTACCTGTTGAATGAATACATGAATCATCACTGCAATCCCTGCATTTATTGCAATCTAGTGGGAATTTAATAAACATTTGCTAAATGAATACACAAACTGTTATTGCAATCTACTGCACTTCTGCAACGAACACAGAGAGGGGCACATACTACATATCTGTTTAAAATCGACTGTTGGAAAATGCAAGGAGCCAGAGCATGCAAAGCCCTTCAGACAAATCCACGTGCGTGACTCAGCTCTTCCCAGTTTGAGTCCGTCCTAGCCGCTAGGGGCAGGACGACTGGAGAGAGGAGGAACTGGCGGAAGTGGCCCTCAGACTCGTCCGGCTCCTGGAAACAGACTTCAGATCCTGGCGGAAGGAAGTCCTTCCCTGTCAGGTCCTGGAAGTTTACAAATTACAACATAAAGTTTTAAATCAAGAATCCGTGCTCTTTCATAAGAAACCTGACCATCGTTCTGGTAAGTGATAAGAATGATATAGTCTCTAGCTTTCGGAATTTTTCTCTCTCCACCTCTTGACCCTTCTAAATGACGCGGTGGTGGCGCCCGTCTCCTTTCTCCTTATAGGACTTGGACGTAAAGTCCCATCAGCCCCTGCGCTACGTCTTTCCTTCTCTTTCTTTTTCTGTCGGCGCTTCCCGTGGAGGGGCAGCTGTCTCTTCGCTGGTAAGTCACAATCCATTGCCATCCTCGCCCACCCGGCGGCCTCGAGGGTCGCCTATCTCGGGATGCAGCACCCGGTGGGTCCCGGAGGGGACGAGCCTGGCGCCGTCTGGGGAAGAAGGCGCCCAGCTCCTCCGTGCCCCGGTGGCCGCCGAAGGCCTGGGCCCCGCTCCTTATGGAGCCCGGGGGGTCGCCCCCTCCCCCGCCCGCCCCTACCTTCTGTGCCCGGGCCCCTCGGGCCCCGCGGCTTTCCTCCCCGCCCTGGCGCCCGTGGACCTCCTCGGATCGCATCTGGAGAGCTCCCCGTGCTCTTCCAGCTTCGGCTACGGGAGGGAGAGTGAGGCTGCAGAGGAAACCCATTCCGCTCCTAGCGCGGCCCGTGGCTGGCGAGCGGAAGATAATCTGCGACAAACGACCGGGCCCTGGGCGGGGGTCCCCCCTGTTGCCGCCCCCCCGTGCTCACGGCTGAGCTTTTGTTTTCCAGGCGCCATGCCTGCCCTCAGACCTCTCGTAAAGCCTAAAATCGTCAAGAAGCGGACTAAGAAGTTCATCCGGCACCAGTCCGACAGATATGTCAAGATCAAGGTACGGCGTCGTTACTGCTCGATCTGATGAGCCTTAATTAAGCGCCTGCTGGATGCCAAGCGCGGGGCTGCAAAATACCCCTCCTGTGTTGGAGATGAGCAAAGCGGTGAGAGATGGCGTGTTGGCGCATAGCAAATTCACCCTCGGCGTGGGGGAATTTTGTAAGAGTCCTCTAGGCCTCTCCTGCCTGACATGGGGCAAGTTACTTAACCAACGCATGCCTCAGTTTCCTCAGCTGTCAAATGGGAATGATCATGACACCTAGCTCCTAGGGTCGTGAAACTCATGTGAGGTATTGGTAAAGGGCCCACCACGTAGCAGGCCCGTAGCAAATATTAGCTACCTAACCCCCTCTCCCATCCCTTATATGAGATGCAGCTTTTGTACGGTCAGAGTGGTAGAGCTTGGATTGGATCCCCGGTCTCATGATTGATAGTTTTCATCTGGTGCTTGCTTCACTCAGCACACTATGTTGCCTGAAAATTGTGTGTGAGAAATAAATATATGTGTGTAAAAATGTATGTGAAAATTGAACTTTTGACTATCTCCTTAAGTTCAGAGAGGTTTTTTTTTTTTAAACTATTAGGTTGGATTTACAGCCTATGTCAAATTGTTCTTTTGGAATATTTTATTTTTTCCTAATTATATGTAAAAAATCATTTTTAACATTCCTTTTTAAAAATTTAGAGTTTGACATTTTCTCCCTCCCTGAAACTCTCAGCAATTTGATATAGGTTGTACATGTGCAGTCATGTAAAACATATTTACTATTAGTCATGTTGTAAAAGAAAACACAGCCACCCCTTCTACCTCCAAAAAAACTCCATAAAAAATAAAATAGCATGTATCGATCTGCATTCAGACTCCATCAGTTCTTTCTCTGGCAGTAGATAGCATTTTTCATCATGAGTCCTTTGGAATTGTCTTGGATCATTATATTGCTGAGAAAAGCTAAGTTATTCAGTTCTTCATTGGACAGTATTATTGCTGTTAGTGTACGGTGTTCTTCTGGTTCTGCTCACTTCACTTTCCTTTATGTAAGTTTTTCCGTGTTTTTTCAGAAATCATTCATGCCTGTCATTTCTTATAGCACAACAATATTCCCTTACAATCATACAACAGCTTGTTTAGCCATTCTCCAGTTGATGGGCATCCCTTCCGATTTCCAATTCCCTATTCTTGGCCACCACAAGAAGAGCTGCTGTAAATGTTTGTCCTCTCTTCCCTTCTCCCCCCCCCCCCTTTTATTTTTAATCTTTTTGGGATACAGATCTAGTAGTGGTATTGGCTGGATCAGAGTTTATGCAGTTCCATAGCCATTTGGGTATAGTTCCAAATTACTCTCCAGAATGGTCGGATCAGTTCACAATTCAACCAGCAATGTATTAGTCTCCCAGTTTTCCCAGATCCCCTCCAACACTGATTATGTTCCTTTTCTGTCATATTAGCCAATCTACTAGATGTGAGGTGGTACCTCGAAGTTGTTTTAATTTGCATTTTTCTGATCTGCAGTGATTTAGAGCATGTTTTCATGTGACTATAGATAGCTTTGGTTTCTTTGTCTGAAAACTGCCTGTTCATATCCTTTGGCTGTTTATCAATTGGGGAATGACTTGTATTCTTATAAATTTAACTTAGTTCTCTATATATTTGAGAAATGAGACCTTTATCAGAGATGTTGTAACAAAAAAAATTCCCACCTTTCTGTTTTTCTTCTACTCATTGTTGCATTGGATTTATTTGTGCAAAATCTTTTAACATAATCAAAATTATCCATTTTGCATCTTGTGATGCTCTCTCTCTTGTTTGGTCCTAAATTCTTCCCTTATCCATAGATCTAATAAGTAAACTATTCCAATATCCCCTAACCCTAATTTGCTTAAGGCATCACCACTTATGTCTAAATCATGTACCCATTTTGACCATATCTTGGTATATGTTGGTAAGATGTTGGTCTCTACCTGGTTTTTGCCCATTGTTTTCTAGTTTTTCCAGCATTTTTTTGTCAGATAGCGAGTTCTTGTCCCAAAAGCTCAGGTATTTGGGTTGATCAAACAGTAGATTATTACTTTGGTCATTTACTACTGTGTATTGTGTACCTAATCTATTCAGTATCCACCACTATTTCTTAGCCAATACAGGATCTCTGGTATGGTGAGGCCATCTTCCTTCACATTTTTTTTTTTATTAATTCCCTTGATATTCTTGACCTTTTGTTTTTCAGATAAATTTTGTTATTTTTTCTAGCTCTATAAAATTTTTTGGTGGTTTTGATTAGTATGGCTGAATAAATAAATGCATTTAGGTAGAATTGTCATTTTTATTATGTTAGATGAGCTCACCTGTGAGCAGTTAATATTTTTCCAATTGTTTAGATCTGACTTTGTGTGAAAACTGTTTTTTAATTATGTTCCTATAGTTCTTGGGTTTGTCTTGGCAAGTAGGCTCTGGGAGGCATTTCTTAGCAGAATATAGTGCAGGAGCATGGGATTGGAGGACCTTGGTTCTGCTCTCATGTTCTGTTACTCAGTTTCCTCATCTGTAAAATAGGGAGATTGGACCAGTTAACTTCCAGGTTACTTCCTGGTCTAAAAATGTATGTTAATTATTCCTTCAAGCACTTAAAACAGTGTGCCCTTTCAAAAAAGGTGCTTGTTGAATGAATCAATGAGTACCATGTGTCATGCACTCAATATGAATAGAAAGATGTTCCATGCTTCTGGTTTGTATTTTAATAGGGAGATAACAATACATATGGGAGTGGAGGCAAAGGAATGAAATTTTGGTCTGGGGTTATGCCTGGAGATTTGGGGCTATCACGTTATTCTCATAGTGTGGTTTTGATGCTACCATTTCAAGAGATAGAATTGGAAAGTGGGCAGGCTGGACAGGTGAATAAGGCTATATCAGCCCCAGGGTGTTGAAGCTTGGTCTCTGGTGGGTAGAAGGAGTTTTGTGGAGCCTCTGTGATGCCGAGTTTTGGGTCATGTGACTGGAGTCTTTGGGTCACACGTTGACTACCTGTGCTTTATTTATTTATTTTTTAATCACAGAGAAACTGGCGTAAACCAAGAGGCATTGACAACAGGGTGCGAAGACGATTCAAGGGCCAGATCTTGATGCCCAATATTGGTTATGGAAGCAATAAGAAGACAAAACACATGTTACCAAGTGGATTCAGGAAGTTTTTGGTACACAATGTCAAAGAGCTAGAAGTGCTTCTGATGTGCAACAAGTAAGTTAATGGGAACATCAGCACCTTCCTACTCTTGAGATATTTGTGGCTGTTGTGCTTGGCTCTCCATAGATTTCCTAACCTGTAGATCAGCGTTTGCCAAGTTGCTTATAGAAACTAGTTTGTGTGCTGTGACTAAGAGTCCATGAGCCTTGATAGCTTTCCCTTTTACATATGAAATTGTGTTTAAAAATTTATACCTCCACCTTGGGGTCTTATCTGACTGATCCCCTTTCCTTGTGGTTTGAAATGGGGTAAAGATGACTTAATGAAGGTTTTGTAGCTATTTAGTGGTAGAGTAGGGTCTTTGATTTCCCAGGAATGAAGGGGACCTGACTATATTTTTTGATTTGGTGGTACAACCATTTTTACAGTCACCCTGGTTTGAGATGCTGGTGGTTCTCAGCCTGCTGCTCCTGGCTATTTGTACCCTCTCCTCTAGTTAATTTTTTCATGGTGCCAAACTAATCCTTTTGTATGTGCCAGTATCCATTACACCATGTTGCTTCAGGGTCGCTTACTGTTGGAGGTATGTGTAGGATGTTGAGACAAGGCAACTAGAACAGGATAGGATATGTCTGGTACGCAAGATGGGCTTTAAATATCTTGAACAAGGGGTTTCCTGAGCTCTTTTAAGATGGAATGGGTTGTGATAAATATCGACTTTACGTCAAGTATTAACTAAAGCCATTTGAGTGTTTCTTTGGGCTTTTCCTGTACTCTAGTGACATATTATGAGGTAATCTTTGTTTAAAAAAATGCTTAGCACTGGGCTGGGCCCATAGTAGGTGCTACGTAAATGCTTACCTTTATGCTTACGTGTTGGTGACCTGGCTTGTTTTTAAATCTCCTTATTTGATCTTCTTACAGATCTTACTGTGCCGAGATTGCTCACAATGTATCCTCCAAGAATCGGAAAGTCATTGTTGAGAGAGCAGCTCAGCTAGCCATCAAAATTACCAATCCAAATGCTAGACTGAGGAGTGAAGAAAATGAGTAAAATACTTTGCAGATTTTTATTTGTGTTAAATAAACCTTCCAATTACTACCATCTATCTGGGTTGGTTTCTGTGCAGCTTTTAGAGGGAATTTGAAAAGTGATAATTTTGGAATTTCTATCCCTCTTTCTGCTGTTACAGGTAGTTGAGAATGTTTCTCCTTTCCCTTGTTTTTTATTTAAATGATCAAGAAAAATTTGGTTCCAGTTTCTACTGCCTGAAGTCTGAAGGAGGTCCCCTTTCTCCTCCTAGGTTTTGTTGCAAAATTACTTATCTCCAATCCCCTTTATGAAGATAAAGTTAGGCAATGCATTTCTTCACTTTGGGGACTTAGTACATTTTGATGGATGAGTTTGGAGAGAAACTACAATGGAAGCAGATGTCTTACCTTTTGTTTATTGTCTTTGTCGAGCAGAATAGAAACCCAACACCCCAAATTACTAAACTAGCAGAGTGGGCCTCAAAAAGGCATCCCAGACTCACTGTCTGACAAGCCTTGTATGGCTTGGACTAGAGTCCTGTAGGTGGAAAGCTAGTCACAGAAACTGAAGCTTATCAACTAGGATCCTGTACTGAGATGATAAATAACATTCCAGCAAACAGCTTCTTAGAAACATTGAAGTCTAGAACTGCACTAGGAGCACTAATTGTGACAACATAGGGTGCTTTAAGATGATTCACATAGGGAAACACTTCCCAGGATCCTGTCACCATTATCAGGCAGGATTCCATCCCCAGTCTAGCCACTGTATGCGAATAGTGGGAATCTTGAGTGCAGAGATTGTACTTCCCCCTCTATTTCTGCCATATCTCCTTAGAACCCCAAATCCTTAACTATTGCCTTAAATTTGCTAACTAATCTCACTTATAAAATAATACTTGTTTTATTTAGGATTGGGAGACTAGCCCTTTAAGTAAGGAAATCACCTTTAAAGTGAATTATTCCCTACCTGGGGTTGGAAGAGAGTGATTTCATGGACAGATTCCAAAATTTGCCTGCCTTTTGTCTCCCTAATCAAAATTCTTTTGTACTCAATTATCAGCCATCCATGTAATCGGTACTATCAGAATCTAGAATAGGTTATCTTAGGTGAACAGGTTTTTAAAACCAATTCATACTTGATAGTAAATGATTGACAAGGATCTAACAACCAGAGGTATATTTAATTTTTTAAAGAATGCTATATTTGCCCAATTGAGTAATTAAACTAAAAAATTTCAAGCAATAAAGGGAAAGGAGGGGCTCATTGTAGGAGTCTTGTCTCTCCTCAGGGAAACTCCCTTAAGTTACTAATCTTGCTTTTTTCACAGTGTCTTCCACTTAGAGATCAACTGAGTCTCTAAAAGTGGAACATGGGGACATTTCAGATAATGTGCAACACAGAAACTCTAAAAACCCTCATTTTTATATAAAGACAAAAACTTTTCAGAAGTGTATTTCCCCCCAGTGGCCCTGCTTAATAGTCTCATACAAGTCCTTGAACTGAAAGAGCTTAGTTATTCCATGGCATGCTGCTCGACCCTTCAGCTCTGGCCTCTGCCATCAGATTGGGATCACTGGAGAGAGAACTGGGATAGCACCATTCTGGGCACCGAGATCCCTAATGGAGGCCAAGACAAAAGACAACCAGGCGTGCCCCAGATCTTAGCAGGGGACATCTCTGAATTGGGGGGTCCTCAACTTGTTCTTTAGGAATCTTCCACTAATAGAGGGTTTTATATTTGACCAGAAAAGCAGAGGCTGTTAACTTAGATCCATTGACTCAGGAGCGTATAAGGAAGCAGAGTCCTTCTGAATGCTTTCAAAGAGAGCTGCCATTTCAGGGTTGGATCTGATTTGGGAAGAGAATTCTGCCATCACTGGGCTTTTTTCCACCTCTGGTATGGTCAATAAGGCAGCCACAGCTCTCATAGCTGAGCGCTTGAGTTCATCTTGCTTTTCAAATTCTTGTTTGACTGAACCAGCTTTTACCTAAAAGGGGGAAACAAGAAATGGCATCACTCAAGGGATCATCAATGAACTGATTTCTCATTGTTGGAACTAGTCAGCTGCTGACTAGCTTTGTAGCTTCATTTTTCCATCTGGGCCTTGGTTTCCTCCTGTAAAATGAAAGGAATGGATATCTTCTTCTGAGGTTCTGAGTTTTCCATGGCCATGGGGACACGGACCTTCCCAATTGTTTATAAAAAGCTAGAAACAAAAGTGGGTTGCTCATCAATTGGGGTATAGCTAATATATATATATATATAATATTACTAATATAAATATTTCAATATTTTGCAGTTAGGAGATGAGTAGGGAATTTAAAGAAATGGGGAATGATCTGTATGAACCAAGGCAAAATCAAGAACAATAAACCCAATGGTAACTTTTTTAAAAATTACCAAAAACATTGAAAAAACCTGCAGTGAATAGATGACACATGAGGACTACCCAATCAGTAAGTAACATTGTGTTAATCAGATACTGGTCTCTGTGTAAGAGATTGTGGTGGCTTTTCTGCATCACAAGGGAGAACTCCATCTGGAAGGGGGGTAGTGGAATATAACTGATGTGAAGCCAGTAGGTGTTAATGAAACTTTTCTATTAGTTTCTAGGAAGCCTGTAGAGGACATGCCAGCCTGAGAATTAAAATGGGTAATAACTGGTCTGCTAAAAGGCAAGAGGCAGAGGAAATGAGAGGTTGGTGTTTGTCAGATCAAATGATCAACAACAGTGGATAAAGTCGATGGTATTAGCTGACATTTGTAAAGTGCCTTAAGGTTTGCAAAGCAGTCGAATCCAGCCTCAGACACTAGCTGTGTGAGCCTGAGCAAGTCACTTTACTCTTCTCTGCCTTGGGTTTCTCAACTGTAACAGCACCTGCCTCTTGGGGTGGTGAGGATCAAATGAGATAGTTTTTGTTTTTATTTTTTTGGTGAAGGCAGTTGGGGTTAAGTGACTTGCCCAGAGTCCCACAGCTAGTGATTGTTATGTGTCTTGAGGCCGGATTTGAACTCGGGTCCTCCTGACTCCAGGGCTGGTGCTTTATCTACTGCACCACCCAGCTGCCCCTTGAAATAGTATGTGTGAAAAACTTATGTGCATTGCCTGACACATAGTAGGTACTGTATAAATGCTTATTCCTTTCTCTTCCCCCAGGGCTCATAACATCCCTGTGAGGTAGGGTACTGTTCTTGTGGGGAAAAAAAAACAAACAGGCCCTAACATGTTAAGTGATCAGATAATTACATAGTAGGTACAGCTTATGCAACAGGTTATCTTAAGGCAGGGTTTGAACCCAGGTCTTGACACCAAGTCCAACAAACTACCTACTAAGCCGCACAGATTCACAAAATCCCAGAATAACAGCTCTCTCTATTAAGCTTGAAATTTAAGACAAATAAGAAGCAAATTCTATCTCATACAATGGCTAACAAAACTTGGAGGCTGTCCATCATTCCTCCTCTACGGCCCTCCACAATCTGGTAGCTGCTCACTTCAGAAGCATTGTGGCATAGCAGGTAGAACGCTGATCTTAAAGCCAGGAAGACCCTGGACTTCTACAGTGCTCTAGCTAGCTCTCTAAGACTAAAAGGGGCAGAGAAGTATGTTGGAAGGAGGAGTTCCTTCATCTGGAGAGCTCCCTGAGCCAATGAAATGGCAAGCCACTCCCTAGCCCTATCCCACTGTAGAAGCTGGTCTGGCACTCTGAACATTCTAGCCTCCATACCCTCAACAATCTTGAATGTCTAAAGCCTTCCCCTCATCCTAGTCCTCTTCAGACACCAGGCCCAAACCACACCTCTCCCATGGGATGCCCCCTAACTGCGCCATTAGCTCACACACTAGCTTGTGTTCCTGGTTCCATCCTCTGAGGCCTAGGGCCAAACTGGTCCCTTCAGGGAGAGAGGAACTTACCTTGGAGGTACAGGTGGCTCGCAGTGGTTCCACCAGGCGATCCAGCCTCTGCAGGACGGTGTTGGGACACAGAGTGGACAGCCGGGCCAGCATGATGAAAGTCAGCATCTGCCAAGCAGGGGAGAAAGAGATTCATTGTGAAAGGACAAACGGAATTCTTGACTTCCCCTAGTACCAATCTGCTTCCCAAAAAAAGCCACTTTCTTCTCTTCCTTCCCCCACAGCTCAGTTGGTAAAAGCTATAGACAATCCTGAATCTGTGGACTCTAGGGGAAGGAAGGGGCAGTGTGGGGCCTAAAGAGCAGGAGGAAGGATTCTGCTTAAGAAGACCCATCTCCACACATCTGCAGTGTTGGAGACTGGATTTGAAATCAGGTCTTCTTGATTACAGGCCTAGCAGGCTACCCACTGAACCACTCAGGGGTGGGGAATCCAAACTTCACAGAACAAATCTCCTTAATAAAAGGATTTGTTTTGTAAAACTTGGACTCGGTCAAAAGGCTGAGCTCAAGGACCTAGAAGGTCACGTGTGGCCTCGAGGCCACAGGTTCCTTACCTCTGACCTAGCTGCTTCTAATTTTAAAAGAAAAATTTCTCCCACTAGAGAAATAAGAAAACAATTGCCCCAAGAAATGTTTTTTTGTTGTTGTTTTGTTTTCTTTGAGATTGGCTCTTCCTCTGAGTTCAAATCCAGCCTCAGATTCTAACTGGCCAGGTGACCCTGTGCAAGTCACTTAACCCTGCTTGCCTCATTTGTAAAATGAGCTGGTGAGGACGTGGTCAACCACTCCAGCCGAAAAAAAAAAGGCTGAAGAAAGATAGGTAAAGGGGCAGCTGGTGGCACTGTGGATACAGCTGTGGCCCTAGAGTCAGGAGGACCTGAGTTCGAATCTCGCCTCAGACACTAGCTGGGTGACCCTGATCAAGTCACTTAACCCCAACTGCCTCAAAAAAAAAAAAAAGGTAAAGATAAGATAGGTTTTCAAAGTGAAGAATCTCTGTCTATGGGTTAGCTTCCTGTCACCGGAGGTTCTCAAGCAGGAGCTGGATGGACATTTGTTGGGGAAGCTCTAGATGGTGTACTTCCATCCTTTCTAAGCTGACCAGTCCCCTCCCAGCTCTGTGATTCTCATACACGGTATTAGCAACCACATGGGGATGAGAACACGAAGCCTGGATAAGAATGCTGGATTTTAGAGCTGAAGGGGACTGTGGAGATCATTTCACTCAGCATGAATACATATGTACACACACTATATTATATGTGTATGTGTGCATGTTTATGTAACATACATGCATATAAGTGTATATGTTTCTTTAGAAATAGTCTCTTAATGAACATTCACTTTGCTCCCTTTGTGTAGGGTGAAGGGATTATGGGAATAGAACAATATACTGATTATTATTCAGATATACTCTATCTGAATCAGCTGAGGTTTGGTTACATTTTTCTGAACTCCTCTCCCCCCATCCTTTTTTTCTTTGTTTATTCTTTGTCATGAGGGATGGCTCAATGGGTACAGGAAGGGGGAGAATAACTGTGGAAATGAAGTTGATAGGAAAACAAGCTATCAATTGAATTTTTTTAAAAAATAGACTGAGATTGGGAAAGATGTTAGAACAGAGAATATCAGAGCTAGAAGGAACCTTGGAACAGAATGTCAAAGTTGGAACGGGACCGGTAGTTTTGGTTGAGAAATAATGGTATCAGTGACTAAAAACAAAAGGCAAGTGAACTCATGGAAGGAGGGTCTGGGATACCAGCCTTACCCGGATGTCATAGTGATCCTTGAGGCCATCCTCCACATGGTTTAAATATTCATAGATGTCCAGTCGGTCCAAGCAGCTCTCCAAGAGGGTGTACATGCATTCAAAGGCAGCTTTCCTGACATCCAGCCCATCATCCACAGTGTGCTTGAATGGCCCCATCTCTACCTGTGGGAGAAGCCAACACAGAATTAGAGGGGAAGGCAGATGTTGCAGGAGTGGCTCCCTTGGTGGCCACAGTGACCACTGGGGGGCAGTGCTGGCCCAGAAAGCTCTACCACCGTCCTAAACTCAGACCGCAGAATGTCAGAGGTTAAAAAGGACCTTTACCTGGCACATCTAGTACAGTATACAAGAGCAGGATTCCACTCTCTAACACCTCCATCCACAAAAGGGCCACTGAAGACCTCCAGGGATGGGGAACTCACTACCTTTTTTTTTCTTTCTTTTTCTTTACTAATTTACTTTTAACATTCATTTTAAAATTTTGAGTTCCAAATTATTTTCCCTCCTTCCCTCCCTCCATTGAGAAGGCAAGCAATTTGATATGTTATATATATGCAGTATGCAAAACATATTTCCATCTAACATTCATTTTAAAAAGATTGAGTTCCAAATTCTTTCCTCCCTCAACCCCTCCCCCACTCACTGAGAAGGCAGGCAAATATATCAGTTATACATGTGAGGTCATGCAAAACGTTTCCATATTATTCATGTTGTGAAAAAAAGACAAGAAAAAACAGTGAAAAAATTATACTTAAATTTGCACTCAGTTCATCAGTTCTCTAGAGGTAGAGAGCATTTTTCGTCATGTGAGTCCTTTGGAATTGTCTTGGATCATTGTATTTTTCAGAATAACTGGGTCAGTCACAATTGATCATTACAATATTGCTGTTACTGTATACAGTGATCTCCTGGTTCTGCTCATTTCATTCTGCATCAATTCATATATCTTCCCAGGTTTTTCTGAAAGTATTCTGCTTGTCATTTCTTATAGCACAAACAGTATTCCATCGCAATCATATACTATAACTTGTTCAGCCATTCTCCAATTGATGGGTGTCCTCTCAATTTCTAATTCTTTGCCACCACAAAAAGAGCTGCTATAAATATTTTTGTATATGTGGGTCTTTTCCCCATTTTTATCTTTGGGATACAGACCTAGTAGCGGTATTTTTGGTCAAAGAGTTTGCATGGTTTTGCAGCCCTTTGGGCAAAGTTCCAAACTGTTCTCCAGAATGACCAGATCAGTTCTCAACTCTAACAGCAATGCATTAGTGTCCCAGTTTCCCCCCATCCCTTCATTACTTATCATTTTCCTTTTCTGTCATGTCAGCCAATCTGATAGGAGTGAGGTGGTACTACAAAGTTGTTTTAATTTGGATTTATCTAATCAATAGTGTGTGAGTGTGTATACATGTGTTTTCTTCCCTCTTTGAACCAATTCCAGTGAGTGTAAGTTATAAATGCTGCCTGCTACTCCCATCCATTTTCCCTTCCATTGTAAAAGCCATTCCTTGCATGGCTTTTATGTGAGATAATTTTCCTCATTCTTCCTCTCCCTTTCCCCATATCCCAGTGCATCCCTCTTCTTCACCCCTTCTTTTTTTTGGGGGGGGAAAGGGGGAAATTATCTCGATATAACTGACTCAGACATGTGCCCTCTATGTAGATGCTGTCTAACTGCCCCAATAATGATAAAGTTCTTGGGAGTTACATGACTCATCTCCCCATACAGCAATGCGAACAGTTTAACTTTATGAAGTCTCATGATTTCTCTTTCACGTTTACCTTTTTATGCTTCTCGTGAATCTTGTGTTTGAATGTCAAGTTTTCTCTTCAATTCTGTTTTTTTTTTTTTTTCCAACCAGGAAAGCTTGAAAGTCCACAATTTCATTAAATATCCATTTTCCCCCCTGCAGGATTATACTCAGTTGTGCTGGATAGGTGGTTCTTGGTTGTAATCCTAGCTCCTTTGCCTTCTGGAATATCATATTTCAAGCCATCCCCTCCTGTAATGTGGAAGTTGCTACATTTTATATGATCCTGACTGTGGCTCCATAATATTTGAATGGTTTCTTTCTGGCTACTTGCAAATTTTCTTCTTAACCTGAGAGTTCTGGAATTTCGCTATAATATTGCTGGGAGTTTTCACTTTGGGATCTCTTTTAGGAGGTGATTAGTGGATTCTTTCAATTTCTATTTTACCCTCTCATTCTAGGATAGCAGAAAAGTTTTCTTTTATTCTTTCTTGTTATATATATATATATATACGTATATATATATATTTATTTATTTATTTATTTTTTTGGTGAGGCAATTAGGGTTAAGTGACTTGCCCAGGTTCACACAGCTAGTAAGTGTCAAGTGCTTGAGGTCGGATTTGAACTTAGGTCCTCATAACTCTAAGGCAGGAGTTCTATTCACTGCCCCTATTCTTTCTTGAAATATGACATCCATGCTCCTTTTTTTGATCATAGATGTCAGTTAGTCCAAGGATTTATAAATTATCTCTCCTCAATCTATTTTCAAGGTCAGTTGTTTTTTTAGTTATTTCACATGTTCTTCTATTTTTTCATTCTTTTGACTTTGTTTTATTGTTTCTTGATGTCTCATGGAGTCATTACCTTCCCTCTGCCCAATTCTAATTATTGAAGGATTATTTCTTCAGTGAGCTTTTATAACTTTTTCCCACTTGGCCAATTCTGCTTTTTAAATTGTTATTTTCATCCATGAATTTTTGTGTCTCTTATTATTAGGCCAATTGTATTTTTTTAAGGTGTTATATTCTTCAGTATTTTATGACTCTCACCAAGCTGTTAATTCTCTTTTCATAATTTTCTTGCATCACTCTCATTTCTTTTCCCAATTTTTCTTCTACCACTCTGATGTTTAAAATAAGTTTTTTTGGGGACTCTTCTTCTAGCTCTCCCAGGAATTCTTATTGAGCTTGTGTCCAATTTACATTTTTCGCCCTTTGAGGTTTTGCTTGTAGCTCTTTCCACATCATTGTCTTAAGAGTTTGTGTCTTGATCTTCCCTGTCACCACAGTAGCTTTTTTACGGTCAGGTTCTTTTGTTGTTGTTGTTGTTGTTTACTCATTTTTCCAGCCCATTTCTTGATTTTTAACTTTATGTTAAAGCTGGGCTCTGTTCACCTGGCGATGGGGAGGCACTGTCCCAAGCTCCAGGCTTTTTTGAACTGCTGCTTTCACAGACAGTTCTGGGGGTCTGCAAGTTTTCATTGCTCCCAAGGCGGTGTGACACAGGGGAGAGGTGTGGTCACTGTTCTCTCTGGTTTTTACCCAGGATGGGCCTCTGCTGTCCTGCAGTGCCCTTCTCTGCCCTGGAGCTCCCAAAGCTGCTGCTGCTTCCAAGGCCCACCACTGTCACTACCCCTGCATTTACCAATATCATAGACCACACCTTCCAAACTTCTAAGTCATCTTAAGCTGGGAAAAATGTCTCACCGTGACCTTTTGTTGGCTCTTCTGCTCCAGAATTTGATTTGAGGCATTATTTTAAAGTTGTTTGGAGAGGAATGTTGGGAGAACTCAACTGGGTTGAAGCCTTGACTCCACCATCTTGGCGCCATCCCTTGAACTCACTACCTTTCAAGGCATCCAATTTTATTTGGGGGTGGCTGTTGTCAGAAAGCTTTTCCTCATATTTGAACTGAAATTATCTTTTCCACATCTCTTCCACATCTCAAGGTCCCAGCAAAACAAGCCTGATCCCATTGAAACTTGAGAGCCCCTTAAATACTTAAGATCCACTCTCATCTTTCTCCTTTTCTTTGTATCTCCAGTCCTTAACACAGCACCTGGCACATAGCTGGCATTTAATAAATGTTTACCCACTGACTCCCAGCTTTCTCTATAAATACACCTGGTTTCTTCACCAAATGCTTGACTAATAGCACTGCGTCTTATATTCCCCCCATTCTTCTCTCTCTCTCCTGGAGCTTGTCAATGTCCCTCTTAAAATTTGGCATACATAAGTGAAGAGAGTACTCTCGCTGTGGTTGGACCAGGGCACATCTACCACAGAGGTAAGCAGCATTTACATGGTGCTTCACAAATACTATCTCATTTAATCCTCACAACAATGCTTGGGAGGTAGGTGCTATTATTATCCCCATTTCATAGATGAAGAAGCTAAGGCTTAAGAGGTTAAACGACTCGCCCTAAGGTCACACAGCTATTAAGTGTCTGTGGCTGGATCTGAACCCAGATCTTCCCAATTCCCAATTCAGTGTTCAATATGCCATCTTGCCATCCCCCAGGGAGAAGCTGTTAGAAATGGGAGTTGTATTTGGCAGTAAATTAACCTTACAATTATTCTTACTCGCTCAGCCGGTAAGGACGCAGGATGACCTGCACCTTCCTCCATGTCCTCGTCCTCACCATGCCGCCCATCTCCAGGCCCAACCCTGCCACCCCGTTGCTCCCTTACCTCTCGGATGAGCTCCTTTCGGACCTTGGTCTCCGTGTACAAATGGGGAAGCGTGTTGTCCAGAAAGTCTCGGATGAGGGAGGGCTTGTTGTGAGCAGCAGAGTTGAATAAGGCCAGAGCCACCCTTCGGACATTTAGGTCTGAGTCCTGAAGGGTCTTTAGGAAATCTCCTGGGGGGGGGAGGTTAAGAAGAAGAAAATGAAAACACACACACACACACACACACACACACACACACACACACACACACA